TACGATTAAACCATTTTTTGACCTTTTCTATGGTCAGCGACATGGAGAAAAATAAATATTACGATGAGAATTTAGAGCCGAGCGATACCGAAGACGTATTTGATTTCGAAGAATTAAAAGACATTGTGGAAGACAATGTTGGTTATGATTCTGACACTTCGAGTAGTAGTAGCGAAATTATGCTACCAAAGAGACGAAGAATGAGAATTATTGAAAGCGAAAGCGAAGATTCGTTACAAGACTTGGACGAATGGCGCGATGTTACGGAAGAATTACATATTCCAGATAGAATACCTTTTAGCGTATTGCCACGGGTCATTGGACCACAAGTTCCTACAAACATTGAACAGCCGATACGATATTTTAAATTATTTTTCACGGACGAATCGGTAAATGAAATTATAAAGGAAACCGACAATTACGCGGAAAATGTTCTAAATTTGAAAGAAATATCTAGTAACTCTATTTGGCAAAGCGAATACTGTGATACTTGTCCAAGTAAACCCAGAATGCACATGGGAGATTGTTACCAAAGATATCGCACCATGGTGAATTACCAAATTAAAAATTTATCTTTTATTTAGAGTAGGAAAATGTATATTTATAAAATAAATAAAATGAAATGCATTCACAAGAACGTGTAATCTTTTCCGCTCAAAATAAGACTTCCTTTATCTCAGGCGCTCCGTTCCAAAAATGTGCCGGAGTTGTTGGTAGACGCGCGGAACGCTAAGGGTTAAATGGCTTTGATATTGTAGGTCTCTTTGGGGTTGACAGTCGCCACTTAACGCGTTGAACGCTGAACCTGCGGTGCCGTTTTTATATTTCTGAATTTAAAGTTGCACAAATAAAGAGTCTTTCCAAGGAGATGCTCGAATAAATTTGCTAATCTAAGTATGCATTGCAATAAAAATGCTTTAGACAAATACTGTCTTGTCTTCTTTGCGAGGCAACACGCACCAGCCATTTTCAGTGCTCGGTAAATTCAACATTAAACGCCGAACGCTAAATTCGATACCATTCGATAATTGTCCCGTAACCGGCGACGGAACCAAGAAGACAATCCCGCGCGACGAAGTATAAATCGGCAGTTTCGCTATACGACGATTTCGCGATACGACGCGCAACGCGGCCACTTCTCGGAAGCGAAGGGTCGGAAAAATACCACCCTTCCGCGCAAAATCAGCCCTCTATCGGCATCGACAGGGCGCGCCGCGTGTGTGCACAGTTCGCCGAAGAATTCCGTGACGCGATATCGCGAGGACCGCGGCGAACCGTCCAGGAGGCGGCGAGGGTTGATTTAGGTCGTGTGCCGGCGGTCGATACCTGATATGTTCAAATGCTCGGGTAGCGTGTTCAGCGGGAAGCTATCGTCGTAAACCTGTTTCCCGGTTCTCATCGTATAATTCTGGATCGCCTGGTTGGTGCTGCAGATAGCCGGATAGAGCACGTCGTCCATGTTCTCCGTGGACGTGGAGCTGCCGCACGGGAACAACGCGAACCCGGAGTGGACGGTGTGCTGTTGCAGCTGCTTCTCCCTGAGGGGGTACTGCGAGAGGCTGGCGACCCAGGCGAGCAGCCCGCAGACCGCCAGCTCGAGCAGCCTGACGGAGAACTGCCAGCCCCACCATAGCCATGGGTACGACTGCGGTCGTTCCTGGACGTTCCCGAAGATCCCGTACAGCTGCACGAAGCCCATCAGTATGAAGAAGAGCGCGGTGGCGATGCTGGTGGTGATGGCGGTGCTCAAGGCCACGGTGGTTGGATCGGCGCCGACGATATGGTTGGCGCCGGCAGCTTTGTTGCTGGCTAGATGAATCTGCGAGCGGACCACCCGGTAGACGTACATGTAGCCTAGGCCTAGGGTCACGCAGACGATGATGTAGATGCACTGGCAGATCAGCGGCAGGATCTTCGCCTCGTCTTGGTAGCCGAGCACGTGGGTGGACACGTGCAGGGAGACGCAGAGGACCACGTGGACCGTGGAGGAGAGCACGAGGGCTGCCGGCGAGAGGAACTTGTTGTTCAACGACGGCGCTTCCGAGCATCTGGCGAGGTACAGCACCAGGGTGGCGAAGGCGGTCGACAGCAGAGGCGCGGGCAGGTACATCAGCACCCGGGACAGAGGCTCGGGCAGCGAGTGGCCGAGGTTGTACGCGTCGTAGAAAAGATGGAAGCACCTGAGGGTGCAGACGGTGGTCAGCAGCAGGTGGACCGTGAGGAAGTAGGACTGGGTGAGCAGGTTGGTCGCCTCGTTGAAACGGACGATCTTGTAGATCGAGTAGAGGGCCATCAGGGTGAACATGATGGCCGCCACGTAGACGTGCAGGGACCAGGCTATCCGCCAGGTGGACTCCAGCGGATGAGGATCGACCTGGGGCACGTTGCGGTCGTTGTCCTCGCTCGGCCTCTTCGGCGCCGGGGCCGGCGGCTGCGGCTGCGGGTACGGCAGCCTCTCGGTGTCGATGATCTCGATGTTCTCCGTCTTGTAGCCGTTCTCGTTCCTCAGCCCGTGGTAGCCGTCGTCGTCGTGCCGCCTCGTGTTCGGCAGGTTGAAGATCGTCGGCTGGGTGACCGACCTCGACGAGTCCAGGGTGCTGGTCGGCCTGGCAGTGGTGCTGGACGCGGTGGTCATCTTCTCGGTGGTCGGCACCACCGGCGCGTTCTGCGCCGGGCTCTTCGTGGCCAACGGCTTCAGCAGGATCTCCGGGATGTCCTGTTTCCGGCCGTTGCTGCCCGAGAGTATCCTCGATATGCTGGGATAGTGGAGGGTTGGCACGAACTCGTTCGTGTTGTTCCTCCTGTCCAGCTCGCCGGACTCCGCCGGGCTTTGCTCCTTGCTGGGCGTGTTCAGCGGTTTGTTCCGCGAGTGCGAGTGCCTCTCCGGGATCTGGGAGGGTCCCTGGAGATCCGGGGGCCTGATCGGTATCCTCTCGTGGGCCGGCGTTCCGCTCGGCGGCGGCACCGGCCTCTTCGGGCCCGAGTGAACGTCGTGGTTCGTTCCTCTCAAGGTGGGCTTGTCCGCGAACGGGTGAAGATACTCCGGCGGCAGGGGCGGCGTGAAGAGGGCGCGGGACGGGGGCGCGTAGGAGGGCAGCTCTTTGAAGACCGGGGACATGGTCGCTCTAGGAACAGGATACCTTACGGGCGGCAACGACGGGCTGGCCGTCGTGCTGGTGGTCGTGGTGGTCAACGACGAGGGCACCGTCGACAGGGTGGTGCTGGCCGACACCTGGGCGTCGTACGCCGGCACGCTGCGCTTCGTGGTCGCCGAGTTGTGCGCCACCTTGCTGAATATCGCGGCGAGCTCCCTCTCGAACGCGGTCTTGTCCAGGTCGAAGTTAGGGCTGTTCGGCACCCCGTCGCCGCTCGCGCTGCACACGGCCGAGCAGGTCGCCATCATCAGCAGCACCGCGACCAGGAACGGACGCATCGTCGGGGTCATGACGGCAACGCTCGGCGGTAGATGCTGGACCACGACGGTGAATCGTTCGACTCAGCCGAGCATCGGTTCATTCCATAACCGGCGGTGAAAGGCTAGTTCGCCAAACTATCGCGGCGTCGGCTCCTAGGTACTCTAATTGACGTAAGGACACTTGCGGAGACCCGTCTCTCTCTCTCTCTCTCTCGAATACCTTCGCGAACGAGAATCCTCTGGGATCACGTCTTCTCTTTCTCTGTCCCGCTCTCGCCCGGCGTGTCTCTAGCCTTCGAGTCTCGCGCACCGCGAAAATACCCGGGTCAGATATTATTACATTCCTAAACGTAACGTAGCTCAGTCCGCGTTGTTCGTCGCGGATCCCCGTTGCGGCCCGGCGCCGCTTATCATCGGCATCTGTTGCATTTCCCTACGGCACCGGAATCGCCGTTATCACCGGCCTGATATCTCCGGTCGATTCCCTTCGGTCTTCGACCCGCTCCAATTCCCGCCTCGAACCCTACGAATTCCGGCAACCGTCTGTCCTCGCTTCGCCGCGGATGTCTATCTACATCTCCCAGGCAACCCCGAAGCTGAAAACGCATCCGCTCTGTGCTCCCGGTGGTGGTGGTGGCTCGCGCGCGATCTTCTCTCTCCCGGACGACACCCCTTTCTCCTGCCGGAGACGCGATGCTCTTCCGTTTCCCTCGAAGAACTATTGCCGGCGCGCGGCCATTATATCATCGGGATTCAATAAACCGTGGATTACTTCGCCGGTGTAACAACGTCACTGGCGGCTCTTCCCCTCTCTCTCTCTCTGACTCTCTTCCTTGTTTCCGGCAGACTCGATTTAAAACCTATCTACTTTCACGGACGACGAAACATCGGCGTGGTGCTTGTTGCTGGCCGGGTTTAATCCGATATCATCATTGCTCGAAGCCATCCCAGATTCGCGGGAGCCTCGGGCGAAACCTGAATTCCTGAGGGTACATTTAATGTCTGGAATCAGTCTGAAGTAGTTCCTTCTGGATGGGATGCCTCCGTGGTTACGCCGCGTCCATTCATTTCACCAGGCGGAACGTGTGCGCGGCTCCCACTTTGCAGCCTCCTCTTCTCTCCTCGCTCTCTCTTTCTCTCTTTTGCCTCTCCTTCCGAGATTATTCCTTCTCTTTCGCCTCTCCTTGCAACCCTCCTCGGCCGACTCTCCCCGTGACACGGTTACCGGAACACCTGTGAAAAATGTTTCTTGTTAATTCCTTGGTTGTCCCGTCGGGTGATTGGTCGCGGGGCAACGCGACGCCACGCTCGAGGAAATTGTGCGCAGGGGGATGGATGGACAAGGGGACGGAGGACGGATTGATGAATCGGTATACGAAGACTGATCCCTCGGTTGACAGTGCGACTGTTACACCGATTGAGCCGTCACAGATCGCCGGGGATTGTTGTCTCGAATAATGAATCCGCGACGGACGGTCTTCTCCCCGTGATAGAAGAAATTTATCGCGGTTTGCCGGGGCTGCTCGTTTTTACTTGATCGATCGATCGTACAACGACTACACGCGAAACGTTTCATGCAAATGCCCCGCGAAAATGTTGCAAATGGAACGATACAACAGTCGATCCATGGGCGATTTTATAAATTGTTTTCGACTTGTATAACCGATGCTGTTTCATGATTTAATACGGTAAACCTATCTCGTCGGGTCGGTCAAACGACCGGTCTCGCGTTGTTTATTTGCGCACTGTTGAAGTTGCGGAGATTCGCGTTTTTAAGAGACGATTCGATCGATCTCTTTATTCGAGTCGCGTTATGGTGAAACCGGCGGAAGGGTTAAATAAATGTAGTTTTTCCGTCGCTATAAAATGGGAAACGTTATTTACTTTTAGAGCTGTATAGATTGTACATATAGCTCTGAAAGTAAATAACGTTTCTTGTTTGTATAACCTATATAGCTCTAAAAGTAAATAACGTTTCTTGTTTTATAGCGATGATATAATAATATAATCTATATGTTACGGTGAAACCGGAGAAAGGGTTAAATAAATATAGTTTTTTCATCGCTATAAAACAAGAAACGTTATTTACTTTTAGAGCTATATAGGTTATACAAACAAGAAACGTTATTTACTTTCAGAGCTATATGTACAATCTATACAGCTCTAAAAGTAAAT